AACTTAACTTCTTCTTTTCCTATTTGGATACCTCTGATTTCCTTCTCTTGCCTAATTGCTCTAGCTAGGACTTCCAACACAATGTTGAATAGGAGGAGTGAGAGTGGGCAGTCTTGTCTTATTCCAGTTTTCAGGAGAAATGCTTCCAGTTTCTGTGCTGGCTGTGAGTTTATCATAGATGGCACTTACTATTTTGACGTATTTCCTTCTATGCCTAGGTGTTCAAGGGTTTTTATTGAGAGGGGATGCTGGATTTTATTGAAAGCTTTTTCTACATCTAATGATATAATTATGTGGTTCTTGTTTTTATATCTGCTGCTGTATTTAATTACATTTATGGCCTTGCAGATGTTAAACCAGCCCTGCATCTGGGGGATGAAGCCTACTTGGTCACGGTGGATGATTTTTGAGATGTGTTGTTGGATTGGATTTGCTAGAATCTTGTTGAGAATTGCTGCATCTATGCTCATTAAGGATATTGGCCTGTAGTTCTTTTTTTTTTGTTGGATCTTCACCCACCTTGAATATAAGTGTAATCATAAGATGATTTGGAGAGAATTCCAATTTTTTTTTTAGTTGGAATCTCACTCGGTTGCCCAGGTTGGAGTGCAGTGGCACACTCAAGGCCACCTCAGCATCAACCTTCTGGGCTCCGGTGATCCTTCTGCCTCAGCCTTCCAAGTAGCCAGAATTACAGGCACACGCTACCACACCCAGCTAATTTTTTATTTATTGTAGAGACAAAGTCTTGCCAAGTTGTCTGGGCTGGACTTGAACCCTCAGGTTCAGGCAATCCATTTGCCTCAGCCTCCCAAAGGGCTGGGATTACAGGCTGAGCCACCAAGCCCAGCCCCAACTTTTTTAATTGCCTGGAATACTTTCAATAGAATTGGTATTAGCTCCTCTTTGTATGTTTTGTAGAATTCTGCTGGAAAGTCATCTGGTTCAGGGCTTTTTTTTGTAGGAGTTTTCTTATGATGGAATCAATTTTCCGGGTAGTTATTGGTCTGTTTAGTATTTCAATGTCTTCTTGTTTCAACCTTAGGAGGTTGTGGGATATCAGAAAGTTCTCCATTTCATTTAGGTTATCTAGTTTGCTTCTATATAGGTGTGCATGGTAGGCTCTGCTAATCTTTTTCTTTTTTTTATTTTAATATATATTTTTTATCTTAAAATTGTGGGGTACAGTTAAAGGTTAGGTATACAAATATTCATTGTGCAGGTACCCTTGTTGATGAAGTATGCCCCCCTTTCCCCAGACAGATATTGACTACCATTAATCCCACCTCCCTTCCCCCCCCCATAGTTTCCTTCCAATCCTCTTCTTATAGTATTACGGTAGTTGTTCAAGGTCCACTTATGAGTGAGAATATGTGATGTTCAGATCTTTGTTTCTGTGAGAGATCACTCAGTATTATAAACTCTAATTCCAACCAGGTTGCTGCAAAATTCATGATTTTGTTCTTTTTTACAGCTGCGTAATATTCCATTGTGTATATGTACCACATTTTTAAAATCCAGTCCTTTTTTTATGGACAGCATGGTTGGTTCCATAATCTTGCTGTTGTGAACAATGCTGCGATAAACATACATGCGCAGGTATCTTTTTTATAGAGTGATTTGAGTTCTTCAGGGTATATACCAAGTAGGGGGGTTGCGGGGTCATATGGAAGGTTGATTTTTAGAGCTTTTAGGAATAGTCATTTGGAGTCAGTTGTGATTTGATCTTTTGTGTTTCTGATCGTGTTTATTTGTTCATGCCCCATTTCTAATCAGTCATCACAGCTGGAAGAATTTACCTTCTTAATCTCCTCTGAATCTTTTTTTCTTTTGTTTCCTCCTTTGCAACTCTTTATTTCAGGTTTTCCTATCTCATCTGTGTTACTGCAATAGCTTACCATGACCTTCCACGCCCGAAAAAGCTGCCAGGCATGTTCCTTCCCATCCATTCTACAGTCTCAGTCAGAATGATCTTTTAGTACAAAAGCCTCTGTTCTCCAAGAAATGATCCTAGATTCCCCCCTTAACCTACCTCCTCTAAACTTCACCCACCATATTTTATTCAATATTCTGCTTTGTGCTAGGGTTCAATGAAATAGGCCATTCAAGTCATCTGTTTTATCCATACTCTTTCCCAGAGAGTTGAGTACCCAAAGCCCTGTTAATTGGTGGTGAGTCATGGGACTCTGTACCCCACCTCTGGTTAAAACTACCAACCAGGAAAATATCTGTCTCAAGCTAGATCAATGCGATTTTACACCTTAGAAAATTCTGTAGTATGATCTAGATTTCAGCATGTGACCTGCAGAGTACTGGCAGTGCCTTTGGGAGCCATGTATGCTACTGAGCAGAAAGAAGGCTACTGTGTAAAGAGAAGTAGAGTAACCACAGCTCATGTGCAGAAGGGCGTAAAGAAAAGATGCCATGGGGTGGCTGGCCTGGTCAGTGGGGTTGAGAGAGAAGCTGTGATTCTTTTGCTGTCTTGTTAATGCTGATTTTCTCATGAGACCGCCACCACTTCCTGCTCTGGTTTTCAGAAGAACCACCAATTTCTGTATTAACCCCTACTTTGATGTAAATTAACTCAAGTGGGATTCCATTTCTTAAAAGCAAATTATTCCCTATGACATTTGACTATATACATTCGGTTATAATTTCCTTAGATTAAAAAACCATAGCTAATTTACCTTTGTATTTCTCAGATGATATAGCATAGTACCTTACACATAGTAGGATCAAAACATGTCTGATGAACTGAACTGACTATCAGAAGAGGTAGATTACTTTGGACCTGGTTAGTTAGTTGGTTAGTTGGATTTGGTAATTAGTTAGCAATTACATAGCCAGGGGAATTTCAATACTTTAAAGAGTAGAGGTGTAGGGGCAGGAAAGAAATGTAAAAGGAAGTCACCTTAGCTAAACTCCATTTTTAGGCATAGTTATGTGGAAGCTAACCACACACACCCACACCCACACCCACACCCACAGCAGGTACTACCTTCATGCTCCTAGCAAAAGCCTGACAAAAATGAGAGAGGAAACCTAGGCAGTCATAGCACAGCATGTTCTGATTCTGAAACAGTGACCTCAGTCCCTAAAGATCAGTAATGGATAGCCAGAACAAAATGGCAAGGCGACCACCAACATGCTCAACAGCTGCAGGTCTCACCCCTCATGCAACAGACGTCAGTTGAGAAATTCATCACTAAAAACCTGCCACATTTTATTTCTTAAAATAAATTTTCTCTTTTCCACAAAGATTTTAAAAGGCATATTTTCACAAAACACACATTTTAATGTCTTTAAGAAGGTAGAGAAAAAGTTAACATGATTTTTCATCTAAATATGATAATCTTCACATTTTTATTTTGAAAACAATGTGATTAATATATGATTATAATTTTTAAATATTCTTTCTTTAGATCCAGCAAATGTGCTTGTTGCTTCAAAGACCTGACCTTTCTGGTTGTTATTATACCTTACCCTTAAGAAAAGGGTTCCTGATAAAGTAATGACTTAGCTGTAAAAAATAAAAACAACCTGTAAGACCATTCAAGTAGTAAGAGAAACTCTTACCATGAAGATTTCCTAACTACACCCTTACAACTTGAAAACTAAGGAAGCAGTCCAATCAAGTATGCACAATGGAATATGACAGAAAGGCAGATAAAAAACAAGGCTGAATGTCCTGGATTGGTAGAACTCTTCCCTTTTCACTGCCAAACAGAGTATGACAGCACACTCAACAAGGGCCAGGTGGCACAGTCATTATTGGGCCTTTTGATTTGATGGTGAGAAATTGGCAAGCTTGTAAGATGGGCTATTTAGGGATCAAGGGGTTGACGTCACTTTTGGATAATGAGTTAGGCTTTAAAATGATGGCATTGCAATTACACCACTTGAGAGCATAAAAGAAAATACAACTATTCCTAAACAGCTCTGAGATCATACAAATCATATTGATCTTCATATAACAGAGAAAGTAGCACAAAATGGTGTTTCTTAAATTGCCTAAGTATGACACACAAATTTGATTTGATTTGTTTTGCTAGGCATAAAAAGTATAGAGCCAATGTGATAAAAGCAACACATTATGGCCATCTATTCAGTGTTGGCTTTCATAACCACAGAAAATTCTCAAGAGGGCCCATCCTGTACATGTTAGATGACCAACAAGCAAGTCACTAAACTAGACTAAAAATAAATGTCAGAACGGACTCTTTTCTAGATTGTATGCCACTATATTCATTTCCTGTGTATCATAAACCAGATACCATCTATAATAAAGACCCGTGATATAGCTAAAACTTGTTCGTTTTTTATTCCCAAAATGTTTTTCCAAAATATCACTTCTAAGAAGAAAAGAGGCATAGCATCTGATCAAACTGCTGGGTCCAGCAGTTTCTTCAGATCAAAATGAAGTGGCAATCCATGATGGTATGGGACTACGTCATCTATATTTAGGTTAGATGGATTTCTGACAGCTTCCACAAAAATATAGTATTCTTTTCCTGCTTTTGGTATGGTAATTTGGTTTTTAATGCCACAAGCAAAAACCTTTGACGATCAATACTAAAAAAGCACATCATTCAAACATGCTTTCATATTCATGTTTTCAAGCAAAGGAGCCTGGACTCTGCAGAATATGCCTCGACTTTGCATATTTTGACACTAGCATTTTAAAGGAGAGGGCTGTTTGTTTGATACAATGAATTCTCTACAGCCCACAAGTACAAGTGGGATGCATGACATAAAGTAAGTAGAAGCTTAGAATATGCTTACATGTTATGTCAAAAAACAAGAAGGTAATTCAAGGAACCAATAGACAACCAGTTGAGGCAGCAGTTAATAACAATTTCTGAAGAATCAGGACCAAAATACACTAGCTACCATGTTTAAATAAAGAAACAATAATTAAGATACACAAAATGTTTACCCAAAGGCTACCTAAACTGAGTTCTGCCTGTGACCTGTGGTTTTTCCTACTAGAGATCACCTACCCCAAGGCAAAATTGCAGTCCTCCTTCCAGTCCACGATGCGGCAGATGAACAGTATATTGGCATAATCTTTAGGTCGTGCCACAAAGTCCTGGGGACAGTCCTTAAGAGGCACATACATTCTAGGCACTCGGTGGTCTGAGGGAGAAAACAAAGCATATTTCCTAAACAGTTCACTGTTCTTATCAGCCAAGAGTTTGAGGACGCCAGTTGCTGCCCGAGAATGTTTTTTCTCCAGGATGTACACCACCTGAAAACACAAAAAAATAGTCAATATTGTTTATCTGTAGAACTAGATTACAGTTGGGAGAAGTCAATAAGATATTATTTGATCAACTAGCTGGATCCAACCGTTTTTCTAGGTCAAAATAAAGTGCATCTCAGTGATGTTCTGTGACTAAAAAATCTAGGTTTAAGTTGTAGCAAGTTATCTAGTAAGTATACATAAAAGAAAAACTATGCAATACATGAATGAATTAGATGACAGTGCTTTTATAACCATGACCTACGTCTTATGAAGATATGTGAGACTCTAACAGAGAAGTATAGCTCTAGGTATTTGTTTCACGTGACATTTTTCTCACATGAACAATGCCAGTATCTCCACAAACAACACAGTAGCTGCTTTAACAAAAAGTTAATAAAAATAAATTACTGTTCTTAATATTGCCTTCAACATTGAAAGGAGAAGTATTTAACCTTCCTTCTTCCAAGATTAATCCCAATATTTCATTTTACTAAGTGAAGGTTCAGGCCACCACTCTACTAAATACACATGCTATTTCCACCCAGAGGGAAACACTCTCCAGGAACTTGAATCTTCTCCCTCATACACCCTGAGAAGGCATTCTTCCTGAAGTATTTCCTTCTTCCACTGCAGACAGTCTGCAATTTCATCCCTTCCTTGGAAGTACTTGCCAACATTCTACTAGACTCCTGGACAAAGATTCAGACTGCTGCTAAGCTCAATGCTACTCTTCTTCATGTCTCTGATACCATGTGGCATTTCAGCCTGTCTGCACAGAACCTCCAAACCAGTTGAGTACAATATATCTTTCCCCAGTCACTCCCAACTACAGGTATACCATTAGGGCAACTGTCTTCTGATCCAAGCTCAGTCCCAATGCTCTACTTTCTTCCTCCTAATTCTTCCTTCTTGGAAAACATCTTTCTATTTTGAACAAACTGCTGTGCCCTCTTTCAAGAACACTCTGGCTTCCTCCTTGCATGTGCTTGTCTGTCCTAAGGACAATCTGCCCCAGCCCCTACAGGCAGAGGATGCTCCTTCTGCTATACACAGCCCCTGAAGAAGGTGTCCATGTTTTCCCACTACTGCATGGCTATGTCCAGATCTTTACTCTTCAAGTCTCACACGTGTATCTGCACCCTCTTCTGGTTCAAGTGGTCCCCTTCCTGTTACTGTCATCTGCTGATCTCTTGGTTACTCTGTGATACCTGGCTTATAGTCTGTCTCTCCCACTTTTATCCAGGGAAATGACTCAGTGAACGCCTTGTCCTCACAATTCCCCATGTCTTCAATATCAGTGGCCTTCACCTTCATTCCATTTCAGCAGCTAATATTTATGGCCTTACCTCAGCATCATATGGAAGCTGTCCAATCCCGACACCTGTTCTCAGACTGATCCATCATGCAGCTTTCCTGTCTTCCCAGCTCTCTTGCACTCCACAAGTTTTTTCACCATATCAAGACTTCCAGCACGTTAACCCTTGCCTGTTCTCTAAGTCTGACAACTATGTCTAAGCCTTGAATCCTTCCCTCCCTCCCAAAGTCACCATGTTTCAGCACTTCAAGTCCTCTTACCTAGGTTGTCAAATGCTTTACCCTTCTGGTCCTTTCACTACTCCCACCCTAAAAATCCTCAGTCCTGGACTATTTCAGTCACTGGTATTTTCTAACCTTAAACAAGCTATAGAGTTGATTAGAAAATAAGAAATTACAAATGTACATATGGATACTATTATGCATTAACATTATACAACTTTTGCTAGAACCTCAAAATCTCTAAAGATATATTTTTACCTGTCCCCACTCTACACAATCTCTTCTTTCACCCCCACTCTCTTGATCCTCTCCTCCTCAGGCTCCAGTTATCTGAATGTCAAATCTTTTTTATTGTCCCATAATTCCCTGTGACTCTATTCAGTTTTTTTCAGTATGTGTTCTCCTTGTTCAGATTGAGTAAATTCTACTGATCTCTGTTCTCAGGTTCAATTCTATGCTGCGCTAACTCTAATACTGAGCCCATCCAGTCATTCTGTTATTGTAGTTTTCAGTTCTATAATTCCTATTTCTTTTTTGTGATTTCTATTTATCTGCTGGGATTTTCTACTTTCTCAAATGTTTCAAGGTAATTTTTAGTTGCTTGTTGAAGCATTTTTATGATAGCTGTTTTAAAATCATTGTCAGATAAGCAACAGCTTAATGTTGGTATTAGTTTATTGTCTTTTCTCACTCAAGTTGTGACTTTCCTGGATCTTGGTCTGATGGGTGGTATTCAATTGTATCCTGAACCTTTTAACTATGTTAAGAGACTGTAGGTCTCATTTAAACCTATTATTTTAGAAGGCAGTCACCCTGTTGAGAATTAGTATGCAGGTCCGAATCTACTTTTGTGGGCTATAGTTCCAATGACAATTTCATTTTCAGAGCCTTTGCAGTGCTATATTGGTGTCTTTTGTTCATAGTTTCACTGGAGCCTGCTGATCTCCATGGATATTGCTTGTGGAAGTAGAAGGAACTTCTCCAGGCCAGCCCACCTGGTCTAAGTATGAAATAGGAATCTCCAACCTGCAGGGACAAAGAGGCTTTCCACTTGGGGCTTCTGGTTGTAGCAGGATCTCCTTTACTGATGCTACCTGGCTGCCCAGTGTCTATGGGTAGGAGAGGAATCTCTGGCCCACAGGGATAAGGAGGCTTCCTGGACCACATACCCATTATAATAGGATCTCCCTTGCTAATGCTACCTTGTTGCCTGGTGTCTGAGGGGAGGTCTCATACTGTGAGGACAAAGGCCTTCCCATACTGGGCTGCTTGTTGTGGCAAGATCCCCTTTGCTGGTGTCATCAGGTTGTGCAGTGCCTCTGGGTAGGAGATACGCATCAAAGAGGCCTCCTGGCCTGGAGCACATCTGGCAGGATCCCTCTTGTTGAAGCCACTCAGAAACTTAGTGTCTCTTGGTGGGAGAGAGAAATCTCAGGCCTATGGGGGAGGGAAAGCTTTTTTCCTGACCACTTACTGTCATTAGGGCTTCCAGTCAAATCCTCTTACAGGTGCTGCCAGGATTGCCTAGTGTTGCTGGAGGGACTGCTGTTAGAGCTGCCTGAAGAAAGAATCTACCTGGGCCACCTCCTATTGCTAGGTTGGAATTCAGAAACACTGGGTCTAGGTCACCTTCTGTTGACTGGAGTTTTAATGTCCCTGCCACTATATTGTTTCTCTGGTCCTGGGACCCCTACTAGAATTCTCTTACATTGTCTCTTGTTTTATCAAGGGTTATGGTTATACTTAGTGGGAGGAGCAAGAAGAAACAAGTCTGTATCAACTTGTCTGAACTGAAAATCCTTGCTTCTTGTTTTAGTTTTTGACAACAAAGGAAGTGTATAAAGCATGTCAACATTAGTATAATATTTATAATTTATATAATGTTAGTTGTCATGGAAATGACTCTACCACAGTATAAGTTTTGCACATAAGTGCTATTTTACCTTGTAATTTTAGGTTGAATTCTTTAAGAAACATTATCAAAAAGATAGGGAAGGGGGGAAGGGGAGGGCAGTAGCAAATTATAGAACACAAGTTTCATAGATAAAGGGATGCGTCTATGCAGCTTTGACTAAAGTCATTTAGAAACATGGCACAGTATTGTCAGATGTTTTGTTTTGACAAGAGAATGCAGAAATCTAATTTTTTATGTGAACACTCCCCATCCCCTTTTTAAATGTAAGTTATGGTGTCAACATTTTTAAATACTGCACAAATCAAACAAAAAAGGTCTGTGGGTCCGATCCAGTCCCAAGGCTTTCCATTCATTATAACCCTTCCTACATAGCATACTGCCTGTTACATGGTTAGTACTTAAAATGCTGGGAGATATTCTCTTAACCAATTTGCTAGGAGAGTAAGCACAGTATATTCCCAGGTTAAGCATACTAACAGATGCCCATGGTTCATAAAGCCTCTAGCTTTTTTATCCTTTACCTTGTCACCATGAGCTATCTGCATAACTAGATTGCCTGTGCTTGATCTCACATCTGAGTATCACACTAGCATATAAAATTAAAGAACAAAATTGATTTATGCAAGATAATGAAATAGAAGTATAAAAACAATTGACTGCTTCAGAAAAACTAAAAAGACTTATTAAAAGTGTATTTTTGAAATAGGTATGGGCATGACAACAATAAAAAAAATTGGAGCAAAAAGTATATTCATTCATATGGCTTCTCCATTGTCTAAACATTCATATGGCTTCTCCATTGTCTAAATTCTCACTCTACTTTGAAAAACTAAAACTGGACATCATAAATTACTACACTATAGTATAGTTTAAATAAGAAAGATAATGCAGAACTCCAATTAACATACCCACATTAAAAAAAAAAAAGGCTTTGCTCCTTTATCCAAAGACAGATAAATGGATACATACTTACATGTCTAAAGTTATTTTTTAAATGTTTACTTTTTATGATTCCCCGTTCCCATTAAATTTTCAGATTAACTGACCAGCTACAGTCCTGACTGAATCATATGAGAGACCTTCAACAAGTAGCTCAGGTGACAGTCATTTGGACAAGTGAAGAGAATCTGTAGGCAATGACCTTTGCTGATCTTTGCAGGGATTTCTCTGGAAAAGTTCTCATGTCTTGTGACATCCAGGTGGTCTCGTCTTTTGTAACTGGTGCACCAGCATCCTCTTTTCCTACATTAAAAAGAGAGGGAAAGAGAACAGGAGAAATCAATTAGATGTGAATCAACTCACAGGGTTTTTAAATTCAGATCTCAAGTTATTTCTGAACATCAATTACCCAAAACTACTCGCATTATAGAAGAGGAACCCCAGGCCTACAGTGGTTGGGTGACTTGGCCAAGGCTAACCATGTCACATACCTGTATTAATATTCACACTGAGCACTTAGCCCCGGCAGACTACATTTTATCTACTTAACATTATCCACATGCTAAACATCATACTAGTAGCGAACATCAAACTATGTTAAACTAGATCGCCTATGTGTCAAAATGCCAAAAAACTAGATGTTAAGTACAGTCCCAGCCCAAAATGAAGAATAGAGATAGGTTAATTTATTATGCACATTGCTTAAATAAAACAAAATCAAAATAAATGTTAACTTTTAACAGTTATGGTAACAGCCACAACAAAAAAAATGGTAGAAAATAGATTATATTTATTAAATAAATAAATAACCCAACCCGGATTTTCCTGGCTTTTTTCAATGACATTATATAATGAATAAAGTACTTAAAGTCTTTTTAATGCTTACTTTCCTTTCTTAAAACACTTATAAAATGCACATTCACCCAAGAAACTGAAACCACATCTCTCCAGGAAAGAGGTAGTTAGGCTCTGTACCAGAAGTATTAAAAACACTCATGAACAAAAGCAGCAAATTACACACTTCTGAACATTTAACATTTTGTATGTTCATTACTTACATTAGATTCCCCCACAAAATATTCATATCCAGCTATATTGGTGTTTCTGGATTCTAGGGGGTCACAACCAACTTCTGTGGGAGCCATTCCAGAGAGCTAAGATGTGTACTTATCATCATTTAGACATAACCAAGGCCAAAATAAATAAATAAATCCTTTTCAAGACTGGCTGCCTCTTAGCAAAAGCTCAGCTTAAAGCCAAATTGTACCATTCTGGGCGTACTCTGGAAACACTGACATGATCTGACCTACTGGGGCATAAGAATGATCAACTGTTTGCTTTTCTATGCTGAAAACTACCTACTGATGTGCACACTGAAAGCAGAAACCTCACTACTTTCCAAAAAAGAAAAAGCAAACAAAAACTCCCCATTGTAGATCATACTGTCCACCTGTACAAGAGGAACATAAGCCTGAACCTATAGTTCAAAATCACCAGATGCTTTCAGAACAACTTTTTAAAAATAATTTTAAGGAGGAAAAAAACACACACACACACAAGTTGTTTGTCTGTTTGTTCCATAACGTACCTTGCTAATGTACTCTGCAGAACAATGTAATTCAGAAAAAAACAGAAGGTTGGAATTACTATGAATAAGTACATTCTACTTGGATATCTGACAGCTAAGTTTTTGGTCTCAAAAGTTAGCAATCAAGACAACAAAGTGAAAAAGACTGGTTTTTCCCAAGGCAGCCTAAATCCTGCGCAAGCAGCTTTCTGTGATGGTCACTGTTGGCTCCACCTTGTAATGAGTGTTACTTCAGATTCCATCCCAACAACAGCAAGTCTTATGTTCCAACTGTTAAACCACATTACAGTCAAAGAGAAAGGGCAACTCATAAAAGTGGGCCCAATCATGATTTTTAGATAGCACACCTGATATGATCTTTTCAGGTCCTGTATTCATAAGGATATCCTGGCAGAAATGAGGCTTTCTTCAAACAAAGTTAAATTCTATAAATTAAACTGAAGTTTATAGCCTTGTAGGTGAGAGTCACAGACATTGTCAATGAATATAAAGAAACGTAATACCAGGTTGGAAAAGTGAATCATCTTAATATGTTTTCAACAACCATGTCTTACCACACTGAATAGCAAAGTTGTCAATTTGATGAGAATCTACTACATTGCTTAATCACAAGATCATTTATGTATTTATTGAGCTCTAGGCATTGAGGATTCAGTGGGATTACAAATATATATATATAATTCCAGTCCTTATGATATATAAAATTGTAATCTGTGTTAAATGCTAAGAAGGAAAGAACAATCCCAAAAAGAAAAGGGAAAGAACATGTGATTTAGATTGGAGGGCAGGGAAAGTCCCTGTGAAGAAGTGACATTTAACTGAGACATGAAGATGGTATATAGGAGTAAAGTGGAGAATAAGAGACCCTGGGCAGGGAATGGCACGTGGAAAGGGGTGGAGGCTGGAAGTTCTCTGCACAATCAAGGACCAGAAGAAAACCACAAGGTTGGAGGATAGTGAGCAAGAATGGGCATGGCAAGAGATGAGAATGAGAAATAGATGGGAGTCAAGTCAGGTGGGCCTTGCAGTATATAAGAATCCAGTCTGAAGCCTAAACACAATGTCAAGCTACTAGGGATTCTGTGCAAAAGTGTGACATTCCCCCGACAAAATGAGAGTAGGCTAAGAGTGGGTGCAGGGAGATCAGTTAAGAGTTATTGCAGTAGTCCAGGCATAAAAGTTTAGAATTGTAATGAAGGCAATAAAGATGGGATTAAGATATATTTTGGAGTTTAACTGATAGATTTGGTAGCAATTAGATATGAGAGTTTAAGGATTGTTAGGCATGAGAACTGAAAGATTATTTCCAGCTTTCTGACACCTACAGCTAGCTTGATAGAGGCATCATTTATGGCACAGGAAAGACTAGATACAGAGGTGAAAATCAAGACTTCTATTTCAAAGGTGGTTCTATTTGAGAGGTCGGCCACCTGTGAGACCTTCAAGTGATGATACTGAGTAAGTAATTTAAAACAAAGGTCTGAAACTCAGGAGACAGACCTGAGCTGTGGTTTTAAATACAATTTATAGACTGAGAACGTACTATTTATACTTTCCAGCCAAAACTGGAGAGAGGAGATTCAAACTCAACTGCTAAATCCAAGAAGCTCTTTCACTGCTCCACACTGCTATGTGCACAAGTGGGGAGTACTGCGCTATATAACTGTTAAGGAAGTAAGAAAATTCAGTGACTTGGAGCCTGAAGGGTATACAGATGTTTTGAAGAGAAATAAGGGAGTTGAAGGGTATTCCAGGCAAAGGCCAGAACTTGGGAAAGGCCCAGAGCTGTGACACGACCTGATATAGTAAAAGTCCAGTAAAAGATTTATTGTAGATACTTACAGGTTGAGGACACAGTGCTGGGTAAAGAGGGACTGGGATAGAGGGAGAAACCAAGCTGGTGGAGAGGTAGGATGGGCCCTGTGGAAGGGATCTAGTTACTACCCAATTATCCAGACTCTTTTTTCCTAGCAATAGGAGTCTCAATTTTTAGCTGGGCAGATCATTCAGCTGCCTCAATAAAAGACCACGTCCTGACTCAGCCTCCTCACAACTATATATGGCCTATGTGCCTAAGTTTTAGCCAACAAGACACAAGGGAAGTGACTTCCAGAAAGTGTTCTTACAAAGGGGAGGCCCAGCCTTCTCTCCTTCCTTCATCCTGCTGACTGGAATGTGGATGTGATAGCTGGACCTTGAGTACTCATCTTGGTCCTTAAGGCCACAAGACAAGAATGTTTTCTACTCTGAAGAGCAACACAACAGAACAAGTTAAAGATCACAAAGCTGCCTTCCAAGACTTCCAGAGGCCTGCTTGCCTCTGGTCTTCTATGTGAGATAAAAATAAACTTCTTTCTTGTTTAAGCCATTGTAATATTATTCTCAACAAAACATATTTTCCAATATACAGATCCAGGCGCTGAAACCGACAAGCTTGTACACTATCCCATAAAGTATCATAAAAGCCAGGGAAATATTTTTCTCGACAGTTTTGTATCATATATATTTTATAAATATATATTTTATAAATTTAATAGCACTCTGGAATGGTAGCAGAGATCTTAGAAAGTTGAGGTTAGAGTCTGGGTGAGACATAATCAGAACCTGAATTAAGATAGTGGCAATGATTACAAGATTTACAAACACTAACAAATTCAGGCATGTTCCACTTCTGAATGAAGGGCCACCGAAATTTACAGTGTCTACAGAGAACTCAATAAATACCACAATATATATTTGAAAATGAAAATATATCCCCTTTCAGAGTTCTCAAAATCAGTCAACTAGAAAAACATCTTATGGACCCCTCTCTGCAGTGAGCTGTAGAAATGACAACACAAGTCCTCACAAAGGTAAGGTGTCATACACTGTGAATAATCATTTGCTATGCCACAAGCTTGTCAGGCATAATGAGTGCTGATCATCATTCTAGGACCCCATATCCAGCTCCTGTCAAGCTTGGGAGGGGCAGTCTTCAGGGGGTACCAATGAGTTCCCTTCTTCACAAAATTCCCAGGCCCAAACAAGTTTCCCACTTTGAAATAAAGCTAATGAAACTGTATAATGCCAGAGAGTCTTCACAGTGTGTTCACCGACATTAGTTCTTTTGATTCACAACTCTGTGCTGTGGGTAAAGTGTTATTCCAGTTTCATTAAGAAAACAGGGGTAATAAAGAGACAGAGCCATTCGATGACACCATGCAGGGTTGCTGGTGCTGGATGCGATGACCTGCGCTCCACACTAGCCAAAAGTGGAGCATTATGGGAAGAGCCATGAAAATCTATCTCAAGATATTATTTAAATGGCCATGGGTCTTCCTGAAATGCTGGAGTCAATCCTGTTAAGGTCCTGAATATGTAGGGAGTGTCAGGCTCTGTCTCCTTAGGGAGCTTCTGTGTTAGAAGTGAGACACTACCAAAAAGACATGCATTTTTATCATCACACTATTCACAACAGCAAAAACATGAAACCAATCCTGATGCCCATTGATCTGGATAAAGAAAACATGGTTCATACACATGATGGGGTATTATGCAGCCATAAAGAAGAACAAAGTCATGGACTTCACAGCAACTTGGATGGAGTTGGAGACCATTATACTAAGTGAACTATCACAGAAACAAAGAATGAATACCACAAGCTTTCATTCATAAGTGTGCCCTGAACACTAGGCACATTAGCACAAGGGTGGGATCAGCAGTTGCTGGGCACTGATAGGAGAGGGAGGGATGGAGGGAGGAGAATGGGAGACACATGACAAAACAAAGGGTGCCTGGTCACTACCAGGGGGAGTCAGGGTCAGTTAGAAGCCCAAACTTCACTTGCATGCAGCCTACTTATGTAGATAATCCTCACTTGTACACTACAACTGTATAACAAATAAAATAAATAAATACATAAAAAATTTTACAAGTGAGACAAAGATGCAAACAAATATTTAAAGCACATGGTATTGGTAACTGCTGGCAAGCAGTGTGCCCAAGGGCAGAGAAGGAAAAGAAGGGAGCCAGGCAGAGTTTGACAGAGCAATTAACCTCTGAAATGAGAATAGGAAGGCTGAGTAGGAATTGGTTAGGTAGATGGGCCCAGGGAGCATTCCAGAAAGGGAGAAGAGTGTGCACAAAAGTACACAATCAAGAGTATACTGAGTCAGAGGAAGTCTTTGTGTGTCTAATAGGCTATAGGGACAAGATCATGGAGGGTCTTATATGACATTCTGAAGAGTATGCACTGCCTATTTTAGAGATGGAAAGCCATTGAAAATTCTGAGATTAACAAGATAATCTTTTCTTCTCCAAAAGCTTTTAACATTTTATCTTTGTCTTTGGTTTTCTGTAGTTTCCTGATGTATCTAAATTTGGATTGTTGTTAAAAAAAAATTCTATTTGCAGTCATTGGTCTGCTTAAATCAGTGATTTGGTACCTCATTTGTTATGGAAAATCTCCACCATTATCTTCATTTTTCACCTTTGCCCATTTTCTGTCTCATCTCTATCTAGGACTGTAATGCAAATTATTTAAACCTTCTCACTCTTTTCTCTATGCCTCTTGCCCTCTATTCTGCACTTTTTATTTGTCTCTCTATGCAACAGCCTAGATAATTTTTTCTTACTGTCTTCCAGTTCATTAGTTCTCTTTTCAGCTTTAACTAATTTTCTGTTAAATCTATTCAATGAGTTTTTTCCCTCCAATATGTAATTAAATATATACTTTTCCTATTCACTGAGTTTTAATTTCATTACTTCAATGTTTACTTTTAGATTTTTAAAATTTCTTTTCCAATTGCATCACAATTCATAGTTTCCTATTTCTATAGTTATCTTCAAACCTATATTTTATTTCTTTAAACAGAAGAAACAAA